CAAATTGGCCGAATCATGATGAAGGGCGACAACATTACATTAATTCAAAACGTGAATCCCTCCGCCACTGTGTAAAATAGGTTATGAAAATAATTTAAGGGAACATTAAGTGATCTTACAGAATAAGTATGTAATGTTTGTTGACAAATGGGTGCCTGTAATGACTGCATTAAATTTAAGATTAACCTAAGTTATAGTTTTTTATTTTATAAAGTGTAGAAAAGAAGCAGAATAGGTTTCAGGCTACTCGTGTTTAGCCTCCTTTTCTATTCAATAGTTTTGTTTCTTAATTTTATAAAACCCAAACACAATGTTGGAATGGTACGTATATTTTAATTATTACCTTCTTATTTAACATGTATGTTGTTAAGTGTGTATTTATGCTACTATTGAAATGGGACAATATACATATTGCAGGAGGTAAGAGTGCCACATCATTCATGGAGCGTTGCATTGCATTCATTGGAGATAATGCAGCAGACTGTGTCAAGACCAATGCATTTCTAAACCTGCCTAAAGAGGCACTCATCAAGCTCATTTCCTCTGATTTTGTGAGTATTCCTTTGCTTCAGCTATGATTAATTTAAAATTAGTTACATGATGTTTAATTGTTGAAAATGAACACATACTAAAGATTCATGGTGTTCCGAATGGTTACGTTAATTGTTTTTCGTAAATTTACAAATTTTAAAAAATGGGGTATGAAAACAGCTGTGTGTCATGAGACACCATTATGGCGTTTGTGTGCTGTAGTACCAAAATCAGTAAGGAGACTGTGTCCGTGGGATGCATGACGGGTTAAATAAAGACTTTCCCTGATCTTTTTTCTAGCTTTGTTTAGAAGAGGAGGAAGTATGGCGTTGTACATTGGCTTGGGCGAAGCAACGCGCTGGAGTGACCCAGCCCACTGCGCACTGGACTGAGGAGGAACGCGCGCGCGTCTGCTTGCACTTGGCGCCGCTCATGCAACACATTAGACTGCTTCTAATTGGTGAGACCCATGTGTGAACTATTTTCTCTTTGATATACTTCGATGGACACAGCCCCGCAGTTCAATGGGAAAGTCATTAGATAAGAGTCGGGTAGGAAAGATTCGTGCGCGGGCCCGCTTTAGCCGCGATCGGCCAGTGTAAGCTCCCGCCCCGCCGCAGACAGCGCCGTGTTCGCCGAGGAGGTGGAGCCGACGGGCGCCGTGCCCATGGAGCTGTCGCTGGAGCGCTACCGGCGCGCTGCGCTGCTGCGGGCGCCGCGCGCCGAGCCGCCGCACCGGCTGGACGACAAGCGCACCGTGCCCAGGTCAGGATCGCACTGCTTGTTATACAGTGTGTTTTTTAACTGGGACAGTATGGCCAGGAGATACAGGGAAAGTGTCTTAGGTGCCGTTGTCTTTTTTTATAGTGTTATTTTTTTGTGATAACAATTTGGACTTAGTACATTTTTTGCCCATACAAATCAATAATTTAAGTAATTTTTTTAGTGCTGATTGACTCAATTTCATTCATCAAGGATTGTTTCATTGTGTTGGAAGAAAAAAAAGTTGCAAAAGTTGATTGAATTTAATAAAAAGTTTTTTTGGTACAAGATGAAACTAGCATAGTAAAACTGTTTTCACAAAAAAGCCTAAGTGGTTCCTAAGACAGGTATTTATTTATTTATTTATTCATGGAAAACCAACAGCTTCTTACATATTTTAATGAAAAGAGGAATATAAACATAAAGCCAATTACAGGTCTCCACCTATAGCTTCAGACAAATCATACATGAGCATTAAACAAATGAACAATTAACCAGTATTTCTTAATATCATGCACTTACATAAATTTAACAACCCAATACTTGTGCTAATCACAAATTATTTAATAAACTTAGGTAAATGAAATGTCAGTGAGTTTATGTTTTAGTGCATCAACATTACAATTATAATAATAATAATATATCAACTTCCAGGTCACGATTGCTCAGCACACCATCCAAGCTCTTGCTAGCTCTACATAGAAAACTATTTTGTCTATAGTTAGTCCTCGCTAAGGGAACTGCAATAGGGTGATAGTGTCTCATAGAACGAGTACAATAGGGTGCAATAGGGTGATGGTATAATAGGGATTGTCGGAGTTAAAAAACACACTGCATTTATCTCTATTACTTCCGAGCACTATTTCGTTGATCAGTGTAAATCGTGACTTGCAACATTCTGCAATTTCCGTTACAGGTTGGCAGTGAACATGTTCGCGGGTTCGCTGATTCTGCAGCAGGACAAGAGCGCCTTCCAAGCGGTCATCAACAACTGGTGAGATCGAAGCGACGCCCCGGTCGGTGCGCGGTTCCCGACTGACGCGCCGCTGTGCAGGTGCGGCACGCCGAAGGCGCAGTGGCGGCTGGTGCACCGCGCGTCGGCCGCGGGCTTCGCGGCGGCCGCCTTCCACGCCAACTGCGACGGCGTGGCGCCCGTGCTGCTGCTGGTGCTCACGCAGCGCGGCGAGGTAGGCGCGTGGCCGCGGCCGCCCCCGCCCCGCGCCCCGCACCGCTGACCGCGTCTGCCGCAGGTGGTGGGCGGCTTCTCCGAGGCGGCGTGGGTGGCGGGCGGCGCCGGCGGCTACCTGCCGGCCGAGCGCGCCTTCCTGTTCGCGCTGCCCGAGCCGCCGCTCAAGCCCGCCAAGTACGCGCTGCTCAAGAAGCCCGTGGCGCTGTGCTACCACCCCGAGTCAGTGCCCTTCCAGTCGGCTGGCGGCCGCCGCCGCCTCGCCGCCAACGCCCGTCTCCTTGCAGCTGCGGGCCCATCTTCGGCGCCGGCGCCGACCTGCTGCTGGCGTCCAACTGCAACGCGAACAGCGACAGCTACAGCAACCTGCACTCGTACGGCGAGAGCGGCGCGCCCGCCAGCCTGGTGCACGACTACAACTTCACCGTCAGGGACTACGAGGTCTTCACCTATAAACACGGCTAGGCCTCGGTCCGGGTCGGCGCCGTCCGTCGGCTGCTGCGGAGCGTCTTCGATGCCGCCGCCGAGCTTTCCTGCCAGATGAAATCCTAGTTGGTTATCGCTTCGTGGCCGACTTCACTGTCATTACTTTCGTTCTCTTTAAAAAATAATAATTTCATTGAAATATCATCGTTGACTCTGCAAAATACGTGTTGAAAATCTTCGAATTGTGTAATAACATAATAATTCATTATAAAAAAGTGCCTATGAATGTGCCTCCTAACGTCTTGCCATTGTTTAAGAAATTTGATGTGTCCACCGATCAATATTATAATACAATTTAATAATTAATGATTACTTTTTATAAATAAAGAATAAAACACAGAAGTTTATTTAGAGCCACTTATATCGAAGCTAAAATTAGCCAGTCCACGCTGTGGGGCCCGAAAAGGTACATTTGTCGCACCGTCAGTACTACGTCGTCCTCGCAGGTCACATTAGAACGGCAATATTAAAAATACAAAGGTAACGCCACAATTGCCACTTACTGCGCCTTGCCATTTCTCAGCCTCGAAAAGTAGACCAAAGCCAAATGAAAAATGTGCCAAAGACCATTGACTATAACTTACTTTTTTCGTATGTAACAGTTTTTGTAAAAAATAATACAGACCCCGACGATTTTTCGTGTTTGGATTTTCGCTGACATCATGCAAACTCAACCGATGCACTCGGCGTCACCGAAATCTGGCACCAAATATAACAAATCGAACAGCACAAATACTAAATTAACTGTCACCTACCCGCTGCTAACAAAAAGACATCGTCGAAGTATGACCAATTAATTAACTGGGATCCCCATTTGAGCTCGATTTCACCGTGAGAACCCACATCGTGGCGAGTCGTTCATTGATAGGCGATCGACGCGGGCGCGAGGGCGCCGGCGCGTGAAATAGGCGGAAATTACGTCGCCAGTGGCGTCTGCGCACCGCGCGGGGGAACGCTGGCACCACAACGGAGAGGTTTCGCTGGCGAAGCGATGTTAAAATGATGACATGAACACAATAACAATAATTCTATTTAATTTTATCGACTACCTTATTACATTGCTTGCAAAATTTCTCCTTTCTGTAGTTTTAATACTTTTTCTTGTGTCATAATCGTAATTGTAGCATCGTGGAGCACAAATTGGGATTCAAACGCCAAAGATAAAACCAAATGCTGACCTGACAGACAGTACTCTGAAAGTCAGCCGTACGCTTGAAATGATCTGATGCCTTCCAATACTACTATTTGCATTTAAAATTCCCTGGAGCGTCAACTTTTCGGCTTAGAAATATAGCATTTTTATGTGATACAAGCTTTCTGATTCGGAGTCTAATCACGATCAGTGGTCGAAATAAGTCTGCGAAGACAATGTGAATGGAAATCGATTAGCATCGGTGGAGCGTGACAGCGGCTGTGCAGGCGATGCCGGGGAAACAGAGGCGAGAAGCGCGAGGCAAGTGGTGGAAAACCCTGCACTGTGCTTGCCCGTTCAATGTCCTCTGAACGGAGCCGATGATTTTTTTATTAGTTTATTATTTTTATTTTTTTATCGGGGTCTACACTTGATCCCCAGTATCATTGTAGAAGTAACAGGTAAAATTAAACAACAGGCAACACTTTTTAGTTTATACTTGGCGGTATCTTGGTGGACTCAGTGAGAAGAAAAACCCGGAGCCAATTATTTTAATTGCGATAATGTCATTAAAATCACAAAAAATGTTCTATGTACCTATTTACACAGAATAGTTTTTTACGGCCGTTTCCCCATGCTCCTACTTACCAGTAGAGATCAAAATCTTTATTAAGATAGCGTAACAATTATTTTTCATCACACTTGCTTTTATGTGCAGCAAAGATAGGCAGTATTTATATCATGCGGCGGTAGGGCAGTAATTACTTATTTAATTTCTACGCTCGAGGGAGCCTCGAACCTTAGTAGACCTTACGCCCTGACCCCAAATTGCAGTAGACTTTTTAATTTAATTCATAAGAAGTAATATAAATTCAGTCTGCTTTATTTCATTTATATTTTTTTATCATGACATTTTATTAATTTAAAAGATATGGTTATTCATACGTAAATGCATTGTAAATGAAAATATCCTGAAAAGTAATTATTCTTTACACTTATAGGATTTATTCGAGATACTCAAAAGTTTGTGAACATTTATATGACGTTGTTAAGTCTAATTTCCTTTTTTTTTTCGACTTTCTCGCAAGTGTGATTAAAAACATTATATGCCACGCAGGCAGAGCAACAGTTACAATATTCGGGCCTTTAATTTCCAAATGTCCATCTGTTCGTAATTGCCTGCTTACCTCTTATGACATAATGTACTAAATTCAAGTTGTGACGATTGTTTAAACACAAGTTGTCAAGCTTTAGATTGAAATAACTGAATGTAATGAAACGCAACGTTGCGTTGTTTGTGTCGACAATTTGCCAAGCAAAGAGAATGATGCTTTTTATTTTCAGACGACTTCCCGTGCGACACCCATATCTACTGCCTCTGACCCCCCTGAACAGAGGGGACACCGACTGTGGACTTATTGTTTATCGTCAAATTCTGAAAATAATAATGATGATCGATATCCACCACAAAATTTCTCTACTGTGATTTTCTTTATCGCGTGAAAATTGGACTCCAGGGCATTATCATTCATCCCCCTATTTGCGAAGGCCAGGTTTTTAGGTGTCAAAAAATATAAGAGCGCGTCGCATTCTTTTCTTCACTATGTAACTGTGTATTAAAACCCATATGGTTTTTTTTTCGAGTATGAATTAAATATTAAAACCCAACCTGCTTTTTTTCTATGCTTCATTCAAAGCGTAGATTCCGGCTTGTCAGCCGTCTTATTGGTTTCCTCAACCAATGGCCACATTAGTAAACAAACAAAAAATAAAAACAACCATCACTTAGATATTGTGTATAGCACGGACATGATAATTGTTCGTTATTATCTTCCATCGTATCGTGGAATACCGCACTCGGCTCGCTGCGCATAATCTGCATAGTAATTAATAACACTCGACATCACATGTATCTGTGCTTTGAAAACATCATAATTCGCACCACCCATTAGTGTTTAAACTCGATTTCCTTATTTCCCACGACTCGGCTGGGGCAAATCAGCCCAACGATACATCAAGAACATATTCAATCAAAGAACGCATTTGTATAAGTGAGGATTTTGTAAAGATAAAGAAACTTCACTGTAAACTAGCCGTAGTCAAAAGTCTCTTAACATTGGACTATTATAACACAGAACATATATAAAAATCTTATAAAGGTCCCTAATAATGGATACAGTATTGTGCGATGCCGCGATATTTAAATGGTAATATAATACTCTCGCTCAAGTGTACACACAATTATTATGTACAGGTTAACGACAATGGGTGTAATTCAGACACTGTATATAATCATTCTATACAATATCGGGCTTCTTTAGGCAATGTCTCAAGTCACGCTATTGACACATACATATTCTCCATATCACATGTAGTATAGTTATTTTTACACAAAATTGTAACGGGGAGACTGGACATCTATGACACCGATCTAGTTGCCTAGTATATTCTCTCCTATTTATTTGATATTCAGTAGGTCAATGTATTCAGTTTATATTTGTAATGGCTTCCTTTTTGAGTCAATAAATATCTATCTTATTGTTAAAAACACTTATCGAGTAACGGTTTAGTACCTGTACATAAGAATAGTAACACGATTATGAGTACATAAGGTCGGTGTCCTTGACACGGGCCGTGGAAACCTGCGGTGCGGGCGCAAACCGGTCTGCACTCATCACATGCCGCGTACCGGCGTGATATCGTCAAATACATAATTACCGTTGTTTATGATTCACATAATAATATTATGGTTTGTAGTCAATTAGCAAATCTATTTTTTGAGATATATAGGCAAAGATTTAACCGCAATCTCACCTGATATTGAGATTAGTACTTTTTAGCAAGATTGTGTTAAATTCCCACTTACAACTGAATTAAACAACGCCTATGTTTATGTACTAAATGCAAAATGAGATGGAGAATGCATGACGAGAGAAATTTAGTAGAAAGACTTGCGTATCTGTTTAGATACTGAAGTAGATAAGTACTATTTCGGCAGGTACTACTTAGACGTAAACATAGAACGCATTATGAACTGAATGCGTAAAACGTTGAATGTGTTTAATCTCTTGACTTAAGATATTGATAAAAAATACCACAAGCTCCTGCTACTTCAGTGTAAAAGGTCACTTAAAATTTAAATTCATCTCTTAAGTCGCATGTGATAAGAATGGTCCAAAGTCCAAAGCGTCAAAATCCTGATGTGCCCTTGATTGCACCTTCGCCATCTATACATATATTGATGATGTTGAAACACAAAGGTCATGACCTCGTTGTTATAACGGCGACAAAAAACATAATCACTTTTATTCTACATTAAACAATGAAAAGTAACGTAAACTCAAAAGAGATTTCCCTCAATTTCTCTACAATATAAGGACAAATTATTGTATATTTCAATAATTTTCCTTTCATTTTCTACGGAAGGAAGTTCCTAGTTAGTAAACCACACGTTATGTGTTTATTACGAAATAACCCAATTGCGTACGAATTTAAGGAAGCAAATGACTGTCTATTTAAACAACGTCAATTGAGAAATTAATAGTGATCTAAGTTGTAATATATTACATTCAACACTGCAATACTGTGGTGAAACAGGTAAAACCAAAAGCGTGCGCGGAAACATATGGAACCTATTTATTAAGGAAGCTAAGGCGGCGATCATGGGAAATGTGACGACACGGCTCAATTATTCGCCTTTACTTTTTAGTTACTCAATTATTTTTGTATTATGTGTAAGACAATGTAAGCATTACTCATTTGCCCGCGGAGGTGGAAACCGGCTCGTGCCAAAAACAAGTTCGGCTTTACTCGAGGAAGATGAATGATGCTGGGGAAAAATTTTATTGGTCATCAACTCGGAACTATTGTTTATTTGTACCTAATACCTAATATAGAGCTTTCCCAATTTAGTCAAATCTTGAAGTAAGTTTTATTGAAAATTACGAATATTACGTATTGTTAACCTCGTTATTCGCAATGGATCAATCGTGAGTATTGTAGGATTAAGCAACCTTGTATAATATTTAACTAAAGTTTTCCATAGGCGCAAATAGCACTTGGGTGCAACATAACACAACGTACGTCAGTGAAACTCTTGAGGCCACGCCTCCGCCCGCGCCGCAGCTGCTGTGATGTCAACGACGCTGTTCTCTATCGCCCGTTGACAGCTGTCACAAGTGCCGTTATCGGCAAACCCTTGGGTTTTTCGCGTAAAACACCGGATTCACGGTTTCCCCTCGGCGAGCGGCGGCACGCGCTTTCCTGCGGCAATCCCACGCAAATACGCACGCGCCCGCGCCGCCGCCGCACGCCGCGCCGAGTGGCGCGTGCCGCTGCCGTTTGCAACTTTGCCGCCTTAACATCGACGCTGCGAGTAGCGAGGCTCCTCATAAATGTATTAATAA